CGGTGGCGGGACGCGCCCCTCCTGCGCCACCCAGTTCGCCCATGTGATGAGCATGCCTTTGTTGCCTGCGTGCACGCGCCAGGCGAATTTACCGGAGCGTTTGTCGAGGAAGCCCTTCAGCCCCCCAGGCATTAAAAGCTTATTGAATGTGTCCCACGGGCGCTCGTCGCGCCAACACACCTTCTTCCGGCAAGCCCGCGACGGGTACCCTGTGGCGGGCTCCTCGGCGGGTTGTGGATAGCTCCCGCGAGGTCGCTCACCGCGCGGTGCAGGGCCTGCTGCTGGTTGACCAGCTCCGCGAACAGCCGCCCAGGGCTGGGCTCGTCGTCTGAGTCCGCCACCTGCGTCCCCATCACCACGTCCTCGTCGTCGCTCGCGACCGAGCCCTGTTCCGAGCCCGCGCCCCCCCCGCTGCCGCCATACGACCAGGTCCACAGCAAGCATCCCACGACGACCGTCCCTCCAGCCGCCGCGATGATGTACTGCAGGTCCCCCGACTCGTATTACTCCCAGACGGTGTCGAACAGGGTCTGCACGTCCTCGACCGTCTCGTAGATCGACTTGGCCCCGTCATAGGCCGCCCGGAACACAGAGCCGAGGTGGAAGAAGCGCCAGCCTCCAGGCGAGAAACGAGATGGCACTCCAGGATCCCCAGCTCCTCTTTGCCCACAGCGCCGTGAACACGTTCCCGATGCCGCCCGCCAGCCAGGAGACGAACCCGCTGCGAGCCCCTTTCTTCTTCTTCGGCGGGGGCCTCTTGCCTCCTTTCATCTTCGCATTCTCGTCCTCGACCTCGGGCCGCGCGATCGCTCGCTAGGCAGCCGTGATGAGCGAGTCCCGTTGCGCAACTGAGACACCCGGGTGCTCGGTCCACTCCACCCCTGCCACGGGTTTCGTCAGCACCCTCCTTTTGTCCCTCACGTCGATCATCACGATGCGGTTGGTCGGATCGGACGCGGTCCACGTTCCAGGATGCTTGGCCCCGACCTTCGTGACCAACAACATCACAACCCCTGTGGGTCTGGAACGGCTGCGCACGTAGATGCGATTCCACCTCGCCCACGGGGCCATCGGGAAGCGCAAGGCGTTCGTGCCCTTGAAGAGATCCTCCTCCTCGGTGGGCTCCGCGTCGGCGCCCGCGCGTACCTCTCGTGGAAGCCGCCCTCGGGGAGCCAGTACGGCAACTCCTGGAAGCAGATGATGGCCAGGGCGGCCAACCACCCGCGCGTCGTGGTCCCGACCGGCGCGCGCCACGCGCGGGGCCAGGAAGCAGGCTGATGCTTCGGTTCGGTGGGCACTGGGCTCGCTGGAGCCCTAACCTTCTCGAACCGAAATAGCTATGAGCAACAAGGACAGATCAGGCTGCAAGGGCAAAAACCTTCGGGTTTTTGCTAATCGCGCCAAGGCCGGGCGCGATTAGCGAAAACCCGAGGCTTTTTGACGACTGTAGTTTACAGGCGACGCACGGCCCTGACTCCCTAGATAGCACATAAAAGACTGTTTGGAAACATGTAGTGACGGGGGGCCTAGCACCACTGTCGTATGACAACAAGTGGTGATCCAGGATCCCCTGTCAAGAGACTACACGCCATAAGGCTGAATGCAGAGGCCAGTGAACAGATACCCCCACCCTCGCCCCAGCCCCCTCCTCTCACCGGCGGGGCCTCATGGCACCAAGCGTTCAATGTCCGCAACACGGACCCAGTGAACTTGAATTTCCGACGGACGCCTCTGCAGGTCAGTCAGGCACCGCCGCAAGACCTACTTAAATCGTTTTGAACCCTTGCAGATTCAAGCGAAGAGGAGAAGGAGAAGAGCAAAGGAAGGGAAGGGTTGGAGACCGAGGAGGTCTGAACTTGATGGACCCCCAGAGAATGTGTCAAGAAGGGGCAAGGGCAAATCCGCACAAAAACTGTTCCCAGACCCCTCCCCGGGTCCATCTGGTGCAAATTGTCATCCCGGATCTGCTTTTGACGGTCTCGGGACCCGAAAACGGCTCCCAGAAGCCGGAGAAGGCAAAAACCTTCTCGAACCCAGGACCTCGAACCTCTACTCCCCCCTTCCTGCTCGCCAGGAACAATGCTAGGCCACCTCAGACCCCCAGCCGACTCCAAAGGAAGGGAGGAAAGGAACGGGGACGAGGAGCGAGGAGCGGCAAAAGAGTCCCGACCCAGAGCGGCCGGCAGTCGACCTGGGATCCCTTCCCATCCGAAGGGCCCCAAACCTCGGGCCCCAATAGATGAACCGCCGGGGGGAGGAGGAGGAGGAGGAGGAGGAGGAGGAGGAGGAGGAGGAGGAGGAGGAGGAGGAGGGAGGAGGAGGAGGAGGAGGAAGAGGAGAGGAGGAGGATGGAGGAGGAGCCTAAATGAACGCCGAAAGAAGGGGCCGAGAATTGGGGGGCCAGCGCCCAGCGCCGTGTGGTGACGGACCGCGTGGTGACCTCGGAAACCCCGGCGACCTCACCGCGCGGTCCGTCACCGCACGGTCTTGGGACCCTGAGGCTCAGGCCGCTCGAGACGTCCTCGGAAAACGACCCGAGTCCCAAAACCGTGCGGCGACCCATACCAGAGCCTTTTTTCCCAACCACCCTGTGGTGTTGGGTCCTCGTCATGAAGAAACAGCGCCGCGCGTCAACTCACCTCCTCCCGCCCTCCTCCCCCTCCCCCCTCCTCCCTCCCCCTCCTTGCCTCTGCTCCCCGCATCAGTCTACCATGTCGGCACACCCCTCAGACGTTTTGTGGCCCCATCGGGAGCTCTACCGGAGGCAACAATGGGAAAGATCGTATGGCAGCGCCACCACATTTCGGCACACCCCTCACACGATTCGCGGCCCCATAGGGAGATCCACCTGAGGCCACAAGGAGAAAGTTCGCATGGCACCGCCGCCCCACTTCGGCACAGCCCTCACACTTTTCGTGGTCCCATAGTGAGCTCCACCTAAGGCCAGTGGGAAATGTTGCAGCACACCGCCGCCCCATTTCGGCACACCCCTCACCCGCTTCGTGGCCCCATAGGGAACGCCACCGAATACGAGATTCATAGTTGCGGCACTCACAACTGCATATGGTTAGGTCATTCGTCAGGCTAATTGTCATGCTTCGCGGGAGCGGCCGTTACCGGCCTCGGCCGCCCCCACCCACAGGTAACGTCACGATGGTGCTGGACTCCCAGACGGCTCGGGAGGGCTCCAAGAAAGCTCCCAGAGAGCACCCCAGCAGTGGCACCCAAGCGGGCCCTGTGGGTGCCACTGTCAGAATGCGCTCTTGAGGCGCTCTTGGGCTTCTCTGCCTTTCGGAATATTCTAAAAAGCCCAAGAGGAGCCCAAGAGCAGCTTGTTGGCCCTCTTGGAACCATCTTCGAGGCGTCTTGCAGCCCTCTCAAAGACCCCATCCGTGTCCAAAAGAAGCCCAAGAGCAGCCCGGGAGGACCCAACAACACTCCAAACGGACCCGAAGATGGCACCCCGACAGTGGCACCCACGAGCCCCTCTTGGGTGCCAGCCGGGTGGCCTTTCGGGGGCCCTCCTGGGGTCCTCTTGGGCCCCCTCTGGTCTACTCTCGAGGCCCCGTTGGGCTTCTCTAGCCCTGGTGTGACCGGGAAACTTTCTCAGCCGCCCGTCGGGCCGCTAAGATCAACTGCGCGCAGCTGATCTCAAAACTGGATATCGCTTGACCGACCATTATCCGCACTGGCGTGGCCCTCGTCCCACTGAGCGATCTACCCCCCCACACGGTGGGATGTATGCCGTCTCCCCCGGGCTTCAGGGGTAAATCTTTACCTCGGCGGCGGGGGGAAGGGTAGGTTGGCAGGAGGCTCAATGGGGGTTGGGGTCGGTTAACCGATACTGATACACCTCCGCCGGTTTCCCTACCCTCCCCCCACCACCCCCGACGTCGCGACTTTTTCCCAACGGCGGCCCTGGATTTGTGAACCTCTTCCCCGGGATCAGCTCTATCCGGCTTTATTATCCTGAGCTGTGCGTTCGTTCCAGAAGACCAATGAGATTGTGAAGCCTGAGAACGGCCAAAAACGTTCCGTCGTCGTCGTCGCCCGTGGGGAGGGCCTCATGAATCCAAGTCCCAGAAGCCCTTTTCGGAACCAGAATGGTGGGAATGTCTTGGGGGCTGCTTGCGGCGTTCCGTCGTCGTCGTCGTCGTCGTCGTCGTCGTCGTCGTCGTCGTCGTCGTCGTCGTCGTCGTCGTCGTCGTCGTCGTCGTCGTTGTCGTCGCCTCTTGGGGGCCTTTCGAAGGCGCAAGGCCTTCGGAAATGGATTACCTGGGCCTAAATGGACACGGAGCCCCCTCCCCCACCCCTTCCTCCTTCATCGGCGCTCCTCGGCACTCTTCGGCACTCCCTCTCCTCCTGCACCTCCTGCTCCTCCTGCTCCTCCTCCTCCTCCTCCTCCTCCTCCCCTTCCTCTTTTCCTTCCCCCCTCCTCTTCCTCTTCTCATTCCCCCCTCTCAGCACTCGTCGGCCCTCCTCGGCACTCCTCCGCACTCCTCGGTATTCCTCGCTCCGCACTGCTCGGTATTCCTCGGCACTCCTCGGCAATCCTCGGCGCTCCTAGGCGCTCCTAGGTTCCTCCCTCTCCTCCTGCTCCTCCTGCTCCTCCTCCTCCTCCTCCTGATCCTCCTGCTCCTCCTCCTCCTCCTTCTTCCTCCTCCTCCTCCTCCTCCTCCTCCCCTTCCTCCTCTCCCTCCCCCCTCCTCCTCCTCTTCTCCTTCCCCTGTCGGCACTCCTCGGCACCCCTCGGCACCCCGAGGCATTCCTCGGCACTCCTCGCCCCTCCTCGGCACTCCTCGGCATTCTTGGCACTCCTCGGCATTCATCGGCACTCCTCCTCCTCCCTCCCCCCCTCCTCCGATCCTCCTCCGATCCTCCTCCGATCCTCCTCCGATCCTCCTCCGATCCTCCTCCTCCGACCTCCTCCTCGCTGTTCGCCTCCTCTTCCTCCTCCGGTCCGTGTCCTCATCTTCCTTTCACCTCCTTGCAAAACCCAGAGGAGGATTCGAGGTAGGAAGCGGCGCTCTTTTTTTGGGGCCAAGCGGCGGGGACCGTCCTGTGTGACTGGGGGGTGTAGTCTCTTACACCCCCCCTCGGCGAGGCCGCAAACATCACCAGGACCTAGCTCAAATTAATGGACGCCTTTTCGGCCGTGGTGGCCGCAGCCTGTGCCACGGAGCTCGCCATTACTAAAGTTATCGTGAAAACCCGCACATGCGCGAACCCATACACTATACAAGCGCGAAAGTCTACGCAAGCCAGGAGTGCACGCCAAGGCTGAACGGGGTGAAAACCACCGCCAAAAACGACAAACAGAATTTAGTGGCAGCGCTGGCTTCTTGTGAATCATCAGCGGTCGTCGTGGCGCACACCGAATGGAAATTCTTTTGGGGGTCTGTTTGCTGCCCCGTCGCCTTGGACTCAGGCTCACACCTCCTGTCTTCCACGGGCAACCATCCACCGCCAGACTCCACGAGCTTCTTCCAAGACGCGGCAAACGCTATGTCAAGTTTCTGCTGGTCACACACCCAATGTTTCGCTAACGCCAGGTACGCATCATCGCTCACAAGAGCCAAGTCTGCTGTCAGACGCATGGTTCCAGCCAAGATGCTGGTCCTGTCCTTCGTCTGCCACTGCACCGCCGACCCAGATGGAGTTGCGACTTGCTCCCACTCCTCATCAAGCATTCCAGTCAAGAATTGGTTGGTCCATTGAGAAGGAGTTGTCGTCCACGGCCCCTCGAAGCCACTCGTCATAACGCCGGCACCATGACACTTGCCGAAAGCATGACCACCTGCTATCAGGGAAGCTGTCTCAGAATCGTTCATCCCCATGCGGCCGAACACCTCCCGAATCTCGACGGCACTCTTCTCTGGATCTGGGTTTTGCCCACTGTTCAGATCGTTCGGGTCGTTCAAAGGCCCCTCAGGGTTCACATAGATCAAACCAACCTTCACCGCACCCAGTGGCTCCTGGCAATTTCCTTGCACAACGCAGTCCGTATCTTGCCAGCTATCTGTGACGCCAAAAATGTCACTCTTGTTACCATCTGCATCATCGACTCGTCCAAAACAGTGCGGATTTGTTGGGCCTCCCATGTCCCGGATAGCAACGGTACCAGCAAAACTGATGAGGTCACCCCAACTGAGAGCATCGCCATATTTTTGCTTGATCCGTCACCGTGCCCTGAGGCACGGAGTGGGCGCGCCCTCAGGTCCTTCGCCTCCTCCCCAGAGCCTCGTTCCCTGAATCCCAGTCCTCAGTCCTGTGCATTTAAGGGGACCAGAGCCAAAATTATGAAATCTGATGGGGCTCGCCGCGTCGGCCCCGGGCTTCTCGCGTGACGTTGGGAGGGCAACTTGTTTGGCACCCCTCACGAAGATCGTGGCCCCCGAGCGCGAACATTTGAGCCCTCCGCCCCAAGAGGCCCCCAAGAGGCCCCGAGGGCTCCCTAAGAGGCTCCCAAGAGACCCCCAAGAGGCCCCCAAGAGGCCCCAAGAGGCCCCCAAGAGGCCCCCAAGAGGCCCCAAGAGGCCCCCAAGAGGCCCCCTAGAGGCCCCAAGAGGCTTCGAAACTGCCTCCCAGAGGCCCTCAAGACGCCAACCACGAGATCCCAACGAACATCCATGAGGCTTCTGACCCCTCACCAAGGCACGGTGGCGGATGGGCCGAAGGCCACTAGATGGGAACGAGAAGGGCACGGGCCTTATCCAGGTTACCATTGTCCTCCCAATCTGACTCTGGTGGGAAGCGGATTCTGGCACCTCCGCAGCCCCCTTTCTGATCAGATGTGCGAAAGGTGCCAGCGCAATGCCACGCTAGGCGAATCATAAAACCACCGTAATGGCCATCATCGGCTGGCCAGCAAGACTGGCTGTCTGTCATGAGGACTCTGAGGTCCTGCTCAAGTGCCTCAATGTCTAGCCCTTCTAGGGCTGTCTTGAAGTCACTGTCAGAAATGACTTCTGCCTTCAAACTTGGAGGAGTGCCAATGTCCATGAAGGGGCATGATCCAAGTACACCAATCGGTAAAAGAGCCACGATTAATGAGTTCATCGCTGCTTTGAAACACTTTGAATACGAATGTCGCTGGACGTTGTAATTACGGAGGGCTTCCTGAAGCAGTTGAGCCTACATTGTAAATTACGGAGGGTTTCCTGCGAGCCTCTTAGAGGTCTCTCGGTCTGTTCATTGGAACTCTTGGGCGCATTCGGGGCTTTCCCCCACCAAGTCGTGGCTGGATCCTCGCTTTGAATAGGGCGATTGGGTCTACACCTGTTTCTCCTTCGCCCCCGTCCCGCCCTCCTCCCTTCTCCTGTCTCCCTTGCTCGCTCGCCTGGCTGGTCTGCCTGTTTGCATGCTCCCTGTCTTGCCGTCCTGTCTGGCAGCTCGGCGGCGCAGGGCTGCGAAGTGTGAAACCGCCACTTTCGAAGGCTGCTGGGAGGGCCAGCGCAGCGCGGAACATCGTGGATCCAGAAAGGACCTCGCTGTTCCCGGGCTGGCTGCGAAGGGCCGAACGCGTCCGGATTGAAATGATCGACCCACGAACCCGGAAAGGAACAGAAATGTAAGGCATGGCAACGTTTCAAAGACACCTGATTGGGCGACGGGCAAATGCAATGCTGAGTGTATCGATCTTGATGTTCTGTGCCGAAGGCTGTGCTGTGCTACGCCGTGCTGAACTGCGATGTGACATGCCGCGATTGTGCTCTATATAGCCTCGTGGATCGAGTCCTCCCTGGCATCCGAGTCCTGACCGAACTGATCTGCATCTTAAGCTCGCGCTGCCTGAGCAGATGCTGGCTGTCAAAAAACTAATCGACTGAGGGGACATGCCAGAAGGACGCGCCGCGGAACGTCCCAAGGGACGCGCGACGCGATGTGCCAGGGGACATGCCATGGGCACGCACCGCGGGACGTCCCAAGGGGACGCTCTACGGAACGTGCCATGGACATGCCGCGGGACGTGCCAGGGGACGCGCCGCGCGACGTGCCAGGGGGACTGTGCTGTGCTGTGCTGCACCGTGCTGAATTGCGATGTGCCATGGCGCGAGTGTGCTCTATAGCGTCGTGGATCGAGTCCTCCTTTGCATCCGAGTCCTGACCGAACTGATCTGGATCTTAAGCTCGAGCTGCCTGAACACATAGTAGCTGCCCCAGAGCTGATGGACAGGGGAACATGCCAGGAGGACGCGCCGCGAAACGTGCCGAGGGGTGCGCCAGGCGACGTGCCATGGGACGTGTCATGGGGACGCACCGCGGGACGTGCCAAGGGGACGCGCTACGGAACGTGCCAATGGATGAGCCACGGGATGTGCCAGGGGACGCGCCACGCGACGTGCCACGGGGGCTCGTCAAGGGACGCCCCACGGAACGTGCCAAGGAACGTGCCAAGTTGCAATGCTGAGTGTCTCGATCTTGATGTACTGTGCCGAAGGCTGTGCTGTGCTGCGCCGTGCTGAATTGCGATGTGCCATGCCGCGATTGTGCTCTATAGCCTCGTGGATCGAGTCCTCCTTTGCATCCGAGTCCTGACCGAACTGATCTGGAGCTTAAGCTCGAGCTGCCTCAACACACAGTAGCTGCCCCAGAGCTAATTGACAGGGGCACATGCCAGGAGGACGTGACGCGGAACGTCTCAAGGGACGCGCCAAGCGACGTGCCAAGGGACGTGCCATGGGGACGCACCGCGGGACGTGCCAAGGGGACGCGTTACGGAACGTGCTGGGGACAAGCGTTTCGCTCGAGACATCCTGCCAAATCCTCAGAATTCCTGCGCGCGGGTCGCGGCACGCGCGAGACATCCTCAGAATTCCTGCAAACGGGACGTGAAAACAAGCATTTCGCCTGAGACATCATCTGAATTCTGGCACCCCACGAGGCCCCCGCTCGAGACATCCCCCAACGTTGCAAAACCAGCGTTTGGCTCGAGACATCCTGCCAAAATTCAAAGCAATCCTGACAAAACAAACGAACTAGTCGAGACATCTTCGAAATTCCTGCGCGCGGGACGCGGCACGCGCGAGACATCCTCAGAATTTCTGCGAGCGGGACGTGAAAACAAGCATTTTGCCTGAGACATCCTTTGAATTCTGGCCCCCCACGAGGCCCCCGAGCGAGACATTCCCCAATGTTGCAAAACCAGCGTTTCGCTCGAGACATCCTCAACAAATTATGAAAAAAAAAAACAAACGTTTCGCTCGAGCCATCCTGTCAAAATCCCAAGAAATCCTGGCTAAACAAACGAATTAATCTAGACATCCTCAAAATTCATGCGCGCGGGACTCGGCACGCGCGAGACATCCTCGGAATTCCTGCAAACGGGACGTGAAAACAAGCATTTCGCCTGAGACATCATCTGAATTCTGGCACCCCACGAGGCCCCCGCTCGAGACATCCCCCAATGTTGCAAAACCAGCGTTTCGCTCGAGACATCCTCAATAAATTATCATAAACAAGCATCTCGCTCGAGACATCCTGCCAAAATTCAAAGAAATCCTGGCAAAACAAACTAATTAGTCGAGACATCCTCGAAATTCCTGCGCGCGGGAAACGGCACGCGCGAGACATCCTCGGAATTCCTGCGCGCGAGGCGCTTTTCCGCGTCGCGGTCGGCTCAGCGAAACCAGCGTTTCGCTCGAGACATCCTCAACAAATTCTGAAAACAAGCGTTTCGCTCGAGACATCCTCAACACACGAAAGGGTGGCCCGCACCCTATGATTTACCGATCGGGATTTTAAGAACAAGCGTTTCGCCTGAGACATCCTCAAATTTTAGTCCGCCGGCCCACCTGGACCTCGATATTTATCCAAGAAAGAATCCGCCTGCGCCCCTCAGATGAGGCACCGGGGACAGGTTTACCAACTAAAATAGAACCCTGGGCTGGCGCCCTTTCCGGGAAAAAGTAGGGCGGAAATTTCTGCACCCAACATCAAGTAGGGAGGAAATCCACAGAAGTAGGGCGGAAACAGCAACAGAGAAAGAGGGCGGAAATTGGCATTAGCGGGGCTTGAAAAGTAAGGCGGAAAGTCCAAGCCCTACTTGCGAATTTCCCCAAAATAGGGCGGATCCGGAATCAGGGGGAGGAAAGAAGCCGGAAGCCGGAAGCCGGGAACCGGAAGCCGGAAGCCGGAAGCTGGAAGCTGGAAGCTGGAAGCAAGCGTGAATCCGGAAGCCGGAAGCCGGAAGCCGGACGCCGGAAGCCCGAAGCTGGAAGCCGGAAGCCGGAAGCCGGAAACCGGAAATCAGAAGCCGGACACGGGAAGCCGGAAGCCGGACGCCGGAAGCCCGAAGCCCGAATTCCAGACCCGGGAGCCAAGCCGGAAGCCGGAAGCCGGAAGCCACAAGCCGCGGGAGCCAGGAGCCGGAAGCCGGAAGCCGGAAGCCGGAAACCGGCGGGCGGGAGGGGGTTCGATCCGGTATACCTCCCCCCTTTTCATGATGGACTGGGGGGGGGGAGGGGTTCGAACCGGTAGTGACCCCCCATGGTTTTTCGGAGGGGGGGGGGTTGAACGAGTAGTGACCCCCCCCGGTTTTCCGCCAGCAGCGGTAGAACACGCTCTTTCTGATTTTTTCAAGACGTCCCCGGAAGTCCCGACCCTACTATACGTAACCAAAAAGCGAAAACATGATGGACCCACGAACCCGGAAAGGGATATAGACATGTGCAGCATGGTCACGTTTTCACGAACTGGGCAACACCTCACGAAACATCCCACGAGGCACCCCGCGAAACATCCCACGAGACACCTCACGAAACATTCCACGAGACACCTCACGAAACATTCTACGAGACACCCCGCGAAACATTCCACGAGACACCCCACGAACAGGCAACCACTCAACCAGACACCCCACGAAACATTCCACGGGGCGACTGGGCGTGCTGGGTGTGGTCGTGCTGGGGTGTGGTCGTGCTGGGGTGTGGTCGTGCTGGGGTGTGGTCGTGCTGGGGTGTGGTCGTGCTGGGGGGTGGTCGTGCTGGGGGGTGGTCGTGCTGGGGGGTGGTCGTGCTGGGGGGGTGGTCGTGCGTGCTGGGGGTGGTCGTGCTGGGGCGTGGTCGTGCTGGGGCGTGGTCGTGCTGGGTGTCGTGCTCGTGGGTCGTGCTGGAGTGTGGTCGTGCTGTGTGAACGTGCGGGGGTGTGGTCGTGCTGGGGTGTGGTCGTTTGCTGGGGTGGGTTCGTGCTGGGGTGTGTCGTGCGGGGGTGTGGTCGTGCTGGGGCGTGGTCGTGCTGGGGTGGGGTCGTGCTGGGGTGGGGTCGTGCTGGGGTGTGGTCGTGCTGGGGTGTGGTCGTGCTGGGGCGGGGTCGTGCTAGGGTGGGGTCG